TACTTTTACATTTTTACTTGAATAAAAAGCATAAGTAAACAGTGGGACTTTTACTTCTACTTGAGTAATAAATAATAATACTTTTGACACCTCTGGTTCCATTTACTTGTGAACTTCAGGGAAAAACAAAGCAGAGTATCAAACCCAACATAATCTTCTAGTGAACAGATATTAGCAAAACAGTTGACTCACGTGAACCTTCAAGCTCCATCTTAATCTTTAGAACATGAGTGGAAATATTGTCCTGTAAAAGAAAGAGATGTTAGAGAAATCTTAACTTCTTTGAGTTCAAACTACACTATTTGGAATAACTTCACATTGTTAGACACTTAAGATATTAACAATTAGTTCTTGGTCAAATGTTTTCCAAGCTTTCTAAAGAATTTCCCTTGGTTCTGGGTGCTTTTTCGCTCATTAACAGTCCAGAAGACGTCCTGCTCTTCACAGCTCGGTAAAGATTTTCTTTGGCTCCAGTGTCATCTCCCTGGTGATGCAGGAATTTCTGGGCACTGTGTGAAGGAACCAGCATGTCCTCTGTGTTGTATGATGAACACTAGCGCAGTGGGGTGGTGAGGTATGCTTATTATTATACTAAGGATCTTTATTTCCAATACAGGATCAACTGTGCGGACCGGATCTAAGTAAAACAGCGTACAGAAATCTATATTCCTGAGCTAACCATGTGTGTGTTTTGAGACGTTCTGGTCTTTGATTAGATGGAAGCAGAAAGGCCGACTCAGACTGAGTGCTGACGAGGAGAAATCAGTGTTCAGGCTTTTACCACACTGGATGGAAACCAGGAGAGCACATACAGGCCGACTTCCCTGTGATTTATTGACTGTAATGCTGCCTCTCCAAAGGCATCCAGATTTTTGATTGTATAAGAAAGAGTGTTGGCCATAAAGGTTGCTCCTGTTTTTGCTTTTTTCCCCCTTGTATTCCTAACCTGATAACTTTTTGCCGCTCATTGGAGATCCCTCAAGCATGAAAACAACACATTTAAGGACATACAACAGCGTCTTGATCAGATTCCATTCCATACTTGAACTACGATAATTTCTTTAGCTTTCCAATACTTTCAGAGGTGGAATTCCTGATCTGCTGTGGATCATTGTTTGAGCTTTATATCACAAACAGATGATTTTATCTGCTCATGGATGGTCTGTTCATGAGTAGCAAAAAGAATCTGGTTCAGACAGAATTCATAGTTTGATAAAAAAAATAGCAAGTCCTGGTCTTGAGGAATCAAAGCAGCTCCGGACCTTCCCACTACCACCCCCATGCTTTTTCCCTTCTTTAAATGTTCTTAGCTTTACCCCAGATGAAGGAAGCCAACCTTCTATAGAGGTTAACCTTTTTTCTTGTAAGTCCATAGAATATTTTCCAAAAGGTTTATCAAAATATTTGTTCTGTAAATGTAAGATCGTTCTATTTGTTCCTCTCGGTAAGCAGTGGTTCTGGCGTTGGAAATTTCCAATGAAGGTAGTAAGGTTTGCTGACCTGCAGATTTATCTGGTTCCCCTCTGATCTCGTGGATGAATCCTTGCTGCTTTCTCTGAGTAACTTTTTGTTGGACGGCCATTCCTGGGAAGGTCCTTCACTCTTCATGTTTTACTTCACTTTTTCTTCTAATTCATATCATCTTTAAATAGACAGATTGATCTTACAGACTTCGTTTCTCAGCTTTTCTTGAGTTTTTTTAAAACAGGGCACTGTGTGCTGGTATCAGTGATTTTTGTAAGGTATTTAGAACAAAAAAAGTAAAGTTCAAGACCTTTACTGGTAATCGAGTTGGATTTTTGTAGGTGCACCATCATAAGTTCAACACAACCTGAGCAGTAAACAGTCTGTTAACATTTCTTCCAAAGCTCTTGAGGTGAAAGAACCATTTCTGCCTTTTAAAATCTGCATATCAGCCTTGGATATGTTGAGCACAAATACAAAGCAAACCATCTGTATTTTATGCCTCAATCTGGGTATCATTAAAAGCCTTAAAACTGTGAGACCAATCTTCTCCAACCTGCAGCTCGAACCTGAAAGCTGATCGTCTCTTTAGATCTCTGTTGTGTGCTGATAACCGGGGATCAAACCAAGTCGGAAAGGAAAAGCTTTCTCAGGTTGCGGTAGCTGTTTCCCTGTGTAATAACTATCCTTTCCTTTCATTGTCCTGGGCTGTTTTTAACGTCCAAGCTCCTGCTTCCTTTGAAAAACTGTATGAGTTCCCCTACATTATGACTGACACTGTGAAAGGAATCCCTTTACAGCTGATTCACGGTTTAATATCCCGCCCAAAAAGAGAAGTGCTTGTGAAAGTGATGAATTCTTTCCACAGAACATTGTGTTAGCTCCTATTATTGTTCTTCAGGCATCACTTTTCTTTTCCATCCAGCTTTTCCAGCAGTCATCCTTCGCCTGACTCCATATCCAAACTTCTGAGCTGCTGTTTGGCCCTGATGTGTTGTTTTATTTTGGGGCCATTGAGTCACACACTTCATGAGGGAGTTAACTAATCACACACAAACCTAAACGCATGACTAAGAGGGGACATCTGAAGGGATGAAAGCAGAGGATGTGTCATGAAGACCAGCAGCATCTGATGGCTTTATGCTGTGCAGAATTCCAGTTAGAATCAGTTTTTATGCACTCAAGAAACGTTGCACAACCCTCCTCTAGTGCTGAGGCATTAATCCAGGATTGTATTAATACATGTGACTATGTGAGGAATGCGACCCAGTAGAACCCTCCAAAAGTTTGGTTGCAGAGCCAGCAGGAATCTCAGAGTAAATTAGAACCAGAAGTAGAAATTGGACGCATCACCTCAGAAGAGTCTCCATGCATCTGCAGCTCAAGGGAGTAAGAATGACTCAGGAAAACTATAATATGACACTTACCAGAGTAATGTGGGCTCCAGGGTAGGTGGCCTTTAGGATGGAGAGAGTCCAGGGGATTAAACTGCCACTGAGACTCCAGGAGAGTCCTGGGACTGGCCTGCAGAGCTCCAAGTCTTTAAATAACTGGGAGTGTTTAAAGGGAAGTCTTTCTCAGTCTGACTCCTCCCTTCCCTTTCCTTCAGTCCTGCTCGGTAGGAGAAACCTGATTCCCTATAGGCTCCACTGTACTCCACTCCCACCAGCCCTCCCCACCTCTCTCCTTCTTCTCCGCCAGCCTCCCTTCCTGTCCTGCCACTCCCTCTCTCTCTGATGTCTGCAGCCCTTTTGCTGCATCACATCTTTAGTCCAGCATGTTTCTGCTCCTCTCTTGTTATCCGGGATCCTCTGCAGGACTCAGAGTCTCTACTTCCTTTATTAGCTCAGATTATTGGGAACACAGTCACTATTTTGAAGTGCATGAGAACAATAACCTCCTCTGAAGGATTAACCACAGGTTGACTCAGTTCCTCTGATTTATCAGAGAAAAGCATTCTTCCTGAGAAACTTAATGAAACTAAACAAAAAATAAAGTGTCCAGCAAAACTGGCAGAAACACTCAGACTCCAACGCTTCATTTGATCATAAAACAATAAAGTCCTGATCCAGCATTTATTTATTTCTATTCCTTCAAGCAGACTGACTTCATGTATTGTTTTAAAGTTTTTCCCTTTAACAGTTTTGGAAGCTTTCTTGTGGTCTCTTAAAGTTTTTTCAGCTGCTTTTTCTCTCATTTTCATAAATTCATCAAAGACGAATGACAGTTTTGGTGACTTACTGCTGTAAACATATTATAAGCAGTCTATTATTAGCAGCCTCTAATTAAATTTTTATAAAATTTCCGGATATTAAAAAAAGGTAAAGCTATGAAGAATTAAAAACAGACATATTCAAACTACCGATAGTTTGTTTCAAATTGAAGGTTGGAGAATGTTTATTCTGCTCCTGTAAGATAAAAACTATTCTTATGATCTCATTTTAGAGTTTCTTAAAATTACCTTCATGCATTTTACTAACAGCAGATAACTTCACTTATCAACCTGATATAAAATAAAAGAGCATTAATGTTGTTATTCATACAACGTTGTGGCATCATGTCATGCTGAGGTCAAGTCTCCGTCCATTGATAGACCTTTGCTGCATATCATCCATCTTTTGCTTCTTTTAACTGTTAGGGTGTTTAATATTTTAGGCTTTTCTCCCTAAGTAGTTTATATTTTATAAGTGAAATGTGTCCTCTGAGTATACCTAATTTTCTTTAGGAGGTCTTTTCAATTTCTGTATGGAATAAAATGTTATACGGTCTCATAATAACAATAAAGATTCTTGATTCTCCTTCTCTTTCCATATGATTACTTTGAATAAAGCCCATAAATGCCTAAAAATAGCAATAGCTTTTCTTAATTAAATAGATTTGGTACATTTAATCTTAAAACAGGCCCAACTGTAAGAAAGCAGATAGCTCCAGAGGTGTGCATCAATTCAGATCAGATTTTGTGCATTAACATCACCAATATTGATCCTCAATAAAGTCTTTAATAGTAATTTCCCCGTTTTGTTTGAAGGACATAATATATATTTAGGTAAAGATAATATCTGCAAAATATTGGGGTGGTCAGAAGGAACTGGAAATGATTGAAAAAACTCCATAAGTCCTTCTGAAAGCCTAAAGAAATGTTGATCAAGGTCATGTTAAAGAGTCTGGATGCTGGGAAGAACACTGAGGGATGGATGAGCGTTTATCTCCACCTCACTGACAGATCAGTGGGTAAAATGGAAAATAAACCCAAACACTTCAGGTTCTCTAAACTCACTCAAGCTAAATGCTTTGCTCCATTTGCTAATGAGTTTAGCTGCTGCTGCTCTTTCCCTCTTAAAATCTAAACATAGAAAAAAAAAGTGCAAAATCGTCCCCATCAGGATTAGATTTTCTCCCAAATGGAGCGCAGGTGTTTTTTTTTCCATGATGCATCCTGTCCATCTCAGTCACTGAAGATAATGGAGTCCATGAGGGGAGCAATCTGTTAATGTGGCGCTTAGAGGAAATGAATCCTCATTAGTGATGGCTGTAAGGATGGAGCACTCAGTAGGAACAGGTGAACCTCCACATAGCTTTCCCATCACAACAACAAGGACTGAAAGCCTGAAACATTTCAGCCTACAGGGACGATATGCATCATTTCAGGTTCATCATTTGGACCCATTTAATACAGCTTTTTACAGATACGTTTCATTCAACTCTATTCTATGCTTTTAAAAAGAGAAACCTAGTTTTAAAAATGAAAGGTTGAGTTTGCAGAGAGAAAAGGGGAACAGAAGAGCTGCTGTTTGTCCACAATTAGGGGAGGAAGTACAGTAGAGCTGAACAAATACATGGAGTGGAAAATAACTTTTTTAAAGTTGAGAAGCAGAGTTACATCATAATGAAGTTTATTTGAACAGAAGCATTGATGAACAAGGTGGTAATCTGTGGTTCGCTTTCACAGCTGAGGAAACTACCAAGGATTACAAAGAGGCTTTCAGCAGAGGAGACTGGAAACAACCAGAGCAAGAAGATCAGGGCCCTAAAGAACCAATGAGAGGCTAAGAAACATGTTTTTACTTAAAACCCCTGCTGCAGTTTGGATTGGTCTAAAAACATTGTTTTCCCCCCCGCCAGAGACAGAGCACCCCCCCTGGAAGATGACGTTAACAGCTCCCACTGAGGTTTGAAAAGCAGCCCTCCTAACAACTGGTCGACATCCCAAAGCTCTTTAAACACCTGCCCTCCTCTCTAAAACCTCCAACCTGGGACGTCAAAAAAAGAAAATGGTGGAACAGGAAAGCTCCCAGACCTGCTGATGTTTCCCACTCATTGCCTGACAGCCTGTAAGAGTCATCAGTGATTGGAGCTCTGTGAGGCTCCAATCATGTTTCAAACACTCCAACATCATCTTGGTCCCAAGAAACTGACCAAAACAGGGTTAGATGAGAGAGAAGCATCTTCTGCCAAACAGGATCCATCAGCCATGGGATGTTATTTCCCTACCACTCCTATCTCTGTTGACCCATATGTGAAACATCTCGAAATTAAAGGATGAAACCATTGTGGTTTTTCTGTGGCATAAGACCCTCAACCTTCTTCCTGGGCTGCAAGTAATCTCTACACTGGCATAATTCTGTCTTTTTTCTGCACATACACAAGAATCATGGATCCAAATAGCAACAACCGAGGTGAGAAAAAGGGAAACTAACATCTCTGCAGACCTGATTCGTCCTGGATACAACCTGTTTAGACCTAAAAGTTGGCGCTAGAGAGTAATTACAAAAAAATGGCTGGCAGTTTCTTCTGCAAGATTCTCTTTGATGAGCAAAATGGATCAATACAACCCATTTATCTTTAGTAAAAAAAAAAAAAAACTTTCTCTCTTCCTCTATAATATATATTTACATTCTTTTATTTTAGAAAACATTTCAAATTAGGGGCAAATTGGAACAAAGTTAAAAATACCTTGTTTGTGTTCACTACCTTGACAAATAAAGCTGATTTTTTTTTTTACATTAAAAAATGTAGCTTTCCACAAATTATCAGTTAAAGCTATGTACAGAAAAGGAGCCCCATCCTAACCTTGGGGCTGTGTGTCTCTGTGGTAGCATCATGCGCCCTACAGCCAGACTATACGATGGTTGAAGGTTGTATCCTGGCATAGGCACAAATTAGAGGGCCAAAACAAACACATCTTAGTTATGGATACCAAAAGGAATGTTTGCAGGAAGGAGAAAAAAATAACATCCAAAAATCCTAAGAGCTGATTATCCTGGGTTATATGTTAGGGTAGATAAATGAGGTACATTTTTTCAGATTTCTGGATGTTTGAAGTTCAGAAACCAGATTTCTAACGAAGCTCAGCAAAGTCCTGACACAGGACCTAATGAAGTCTCTAGTGGGTGCTTTTTCATGCAAAATATTGCAGAATCATTACTGTAACAATAATCCCACAAAGTATTTCAGTTTCCGTCCCTGACAGTTTAACTCTAGCTGCAGTTCTACCATTTACAGGTCTCCTTGTAAACTTCCTCCCTCCAAGGTTGACCAAGGCACTCCCAGAACCAGCAGGGACGTATACAGGAGTCCTGCTGGCAGATTCTGAGTTTCCTCCCAGTGGGGTCTGTGGCACAAACATCCAGCGGGAGATGATCCAGATAAGATCCTTCAATGACCTCAGCTAATTTAGAGCAGCCAAACTCTCCCATCCTGTACGGCTGATAGCCATCTTCCCGCTGAACACAACCCATACTACCTAACATGTTTAAAGCCACCAATCGTATCCTGAATATGGTGAAAAACGGTTTATTTAGAAACACACTGAGGCCAAGGCCTGGAACGGCAATCACTCCTGTACAAATGAGTCAAAGACAAAAAAAAAATAAAAATACTGTGCAGAGGAACACACTGCATGGTAAAAACCGCAGAGGAGGGAACAAAAGAGTTTGACTTTTTTAAAGTTATGAGAGGGGTGTGAAGGTGGACTGTCGGGGTCATTGGATGTTTCAGCGCAGAACTGGAACATCAGCAGCTGGTAGAAATAAAGGAATTGTTTACTTCTGTTTATCGTTTCTGTTGCATATTTTAAAAAACTGCATCTTTATTCCATTGCTTCGTTTATTGTAAAGCTGCTATTAGTTCAGTGAAACATTTTATCTGTAAAACATCTCACTGTAACATCAATGTCAAACAGTTCAGAAGAAATGATTTTTGTCTCCGTAAAAGATTTATTCTTTTTTTTGTTTTTTATATCACAACCAGGTTTGAAAATCTACAGTTTTTTGAAATTTAAGAGTTCGTAACAAAAAAATAAACATGAAAAGAAAAATCTTCCTCCGTCCTCTCCTGTCCAGTGTAGGCAGTCTCAGCACCGGATGGCTGACGTCTCCACGTCACTGCGGGGCGAGCGGGATTCCCCGGGCGTCCGTCACCTGGCCTTCCTGCAGGTTCTTCACCAGCTGAGCGAGCCAGCGCTTGGTGGTGGTGTCGTCCTTCAGGACCTGAGCAAAGGTGCTGTCCTTGAGCTGGTCGGGGAGACACTGACGCAGCGCCTCTCTTGCTCTGTGGAAACCAGAGCAAAGGTCAGAAAAACGTGATTCGATCAGGACCTCTGAAAATACGGCGCTGAATTCAAAGTGGGTGAATCTTTCTTTCCAAAATCTATATCTTTAAATTTAGATAACATGCTCTTCCAAAAACCTGCCCTGAAGTTTCCTCCCCCCTAGAAGCCGTGTTTCTGCTAGTAGATTAAACCTCTTTTTAAATGAACTCTTATGAGCACATAATGAGAGGTGCTTTATTACCTAATTTATTACTCAAACATTTTCTAAATTTCTTTTTTCTGTGTTTCAGAGTCAGCAGGGTGAGCGGCAATGTTTTGCACATATATCAACAGATATTTAACTTGCTAAAGCAGGGGCTGCAAAACTAAATTCCTATGCATCCTTCTTCTTCATCTTCTCCAGGCTCTAGTTTGCTTTTTCTCATTCAGGCTGAAAATCTAATATGAATCGTAAAAGCTGTCTTCTTCTCTTGACTGCATGAATTTGCTGACAATCCATTCCTAAATTAATCCAGAGCAGATGATCCCCAGAGGAATGATGCATTTGTTCTATGGAGTGTCACTTTTTTGTTCTCTTCCTCGGGGGCTTTAGAGGCAAGACTTTTAAATAGTATTAATGATTAGGGGTGTAAATAATAATCGTTTTGTATCGATACATCGATCCAACAGCCGACGATCCGATGCATCGATACGTCTGCAAGAGAATCAATTCATGTTTTTTATCCATTTGCTCCAGGACGTAATTCTCCCTCCCGTGCTGCAGTGGCGCTAAACCTATTTTGCCCTCCTACCGCGCTTCCTGGTTATACTCTTACAGCAGTGTGTTGCAGTGAGCTTGACACAGTAATTTTTGATTTATGCTCAATATTGAAGTGTGGTCTGTGCTACACACTGTGCGTCTAGATACGGCTGAGGCGGCGAGGAAGTGGGGGCGAGTTTAGTCTGATGACGGAGGGACATGAGGGCCAAAAAGAGCGGAGATCCAGGTGGAAAAAGGGTCCCAGCGTTCTCGCGCACCTCGCTCTTCTAGTGGGTCAAACTTCACGAGTTGTTTTCCGCAATTTCGGTCATCAAAACAAGCTGGCCTCCTGTCTGCGGCACTGTCTGCTGTCAGCTACAATTTGGGAGAGGTGCAGCGCAGCGTCTGTGGAGGGGGCGGGGACGTCTGGAGCCGAGGTATTGAATTGCACTTACTGCACTCATTTTGTGCAGGATTTTTTGATGCAACTTTTCTACTTATTTGCTGTTGTTTCTCAAACAAAAAAAATGCATAACGATATTATAGCTGTCATTGATTTATTTCAAATTTGAAACATTGTTTAGCCTGTAAGGTGTAAAAAAAAAAAAAAAAAAAAAAAAAAAAAGAACCAATTAATCGTATCGTGGTGTATTCTTGAGTATCGAAAATAATCGAAATCGTTGGGACAGGAAATCGATACTGAATCGAATCGCCATGATGGATGTGATTTACACCCCTATTAATGATCTTTTTTATATACCTAAAGGTTTCCTTTGTCCCCTGCCTCCTCCCTATTGGACCAAAACGATGCAAAAGCAGCTAATGCTAAAAGAACAGAAACATGGAGAACTAGTTAAATCCAGGCCATTTTGAATCTTACTCAGAATATCAGATACCGTGAGAGATGGTATCATATCTGCTTTCGAACACTTTTGAATTCTGGCCTCTACTTAGTTTTATTTCCAGGTTTAATCTAAAATAGGTTTTTTATATATATGGAAACTAATGATGCACAACAGCTTTGCTTGATCTGTGTCCAAAGAGTAGTGAAATATAGTAATATTGGTAAATATATATATATATATATATATAATCTGTGCATCGAAAATCTAAAGCAGACTGAATCAGAATTTAAACTGAAAGTTCCTGCTCATTTGGTGAAAAAATAATAGAACAAACTGAATCACAGGATGTTCATCTCAGAGCCCGTTTTATCGGACCTGGTTCAGTTTTTGCTTTACAGCAACACTAAAGAACTGAATCTCTCCAGACGAAGTCCACTCCTATGCAAGAAGCATTCCTGAATCTTCCCAAATGGACTCCGGCTCTAATTAAGAATATCTGCGACTATCAGAGTGATAAAACGAGGAGAGGGGCGAAACATGAAACGATTTAAAACAAGGAGGACCACATGATACGGATAAAAAACATGATGTTGAAAGAGGCTGAGGACAGCAGTCAGTCTAAAACCAGGGATGGACGACAGTCTACGGCTTCTTTTTCATCTTTATTCAGACAGATAGCATGCTGTCTGAGTAACAATAACTATGGTTATATTCCAGTCTTTGTTAGTAGGAGACAGCCAGCACCCATCACCATGACTCTTTGGCTTCCGTTCTTTGAGGCTTAAATATTTAATCCTTTTTCAGCTTTCTAGGGGAAAAGAATGTAGATTTTGGATCTAAACTGAACTATAAGCTTGTGTTTAGAACTGCTATAAATTGTTTCAAATTTGACAGAATCTTCCTTCTAAAGTAATGTCACCCCAGAGCATTATGCTGCCACCACCGTGTTTTTTGGAAGAGATGGTCACAGCCCCTGGTTTCATTTTACCAGAATAGACCACCCTGTCCCTTTTTCTTGGTAGGAAATTATTTATATCAGATCCTACTCTTTAGTCTACAGATACAGAGAATAGATAGTATTGCTGAACCGGGTAGAGCTCAGTAATTAATAGAAATGGGTGGATATTATCATTGCTGTTATGGATTATAACCAATATTTACTGATATTCCATACAACAGCCAACCTTTTCAACTCTGTAAACAAACGACTGACATCGGTTTTTGTACTCAGCTCAACAAATTACAGCATATTCACACAACCAGATACCACATGACCCCCCAGTGAACGCAAGCAACATAAAAAATATAAATATATCCCAGCAAGAGTTTATTGTTTGATGCAAAAGGTGAGATGCAGAATGAAATAGATGGTTGAAGCTAAAGTAGGGTGCGCCTATTAATTTAATTTTGAGAGATATTTAATAGATGTAAAAATGATCGTAACCACCAATGTCATCTACCTCTGCAAAGTTCTAAAAAATCTACTGGATGAAACCAGATTAAATCATTCAAGATTGATAGTGAACCTATAATAAATGTTTTAAAACAGCGGTCCCCAACCTTTTTTGCACCACGGGCCGCTATATGTCGGGGGAGGGGAGCGGGGCATAAAAATAAAACAATAAGCCGGTCCAATCTAGGCGTAATCTGAGAAAGTAACAGACGAAGTGTGCTCCTGATGTCCAGTCTGCTCCGTAGCTTTGTTTTGGTCGCTGTAACCGCAGAAAATCCCGCTTCACAAAGA